CAGGAATTCAGTGGCAGATTTGCAGTTAGTGTCGATGGTCGTTGAAATCTCCCGGGAGCAGAACAAGGTGAGATGGCAGGGGGGGGACCAGAGTGACCAGAGGAGTGGGACCAGAGAGTTTGAGAGTGATGTGTTCAAAGGACTGAGCAGCAGGGATGGAAATTGTGGATGTTTTAATGTCCTTTCTGTACACTGCAGCAAAACCACCTCAGGTTGCCCCTCAGGTCGGGGTTTGTCCATGTATGTATATCCTGTGGTGTGGTCTGGTTGAGTGAGAAACATTTCAGAGATTTGTGCCAGGTTTCAGTGATACAGAGGAAATCAAGGTTGTCAGTTATGAATTCATTTAAAATGAGGCTTTTATTGTTGAGTGAGCGGGTGTTGAGCAAAGCCAGTTTCAGGTGACGTTGCTTCGTGATGGGTTGTGAGGACCGAGGAAGGGGGCGGAGATTAGATAGGTGCACGTGTCGTTTGTTGTGATGACGTAATGAGGAAGTTGCGGTGTGCAAGCAAATGTTGGTAACAATTCTTTTACAACCAAATATGAAATGAATAAAGAATGAGACCATTAATAACCAATAATGGACAGAGGGCCCTTAGAGACAGTGAGGGAATTACTAAGGTGGAAAGGTAAATTGTTTCCCCTTCCCCCTCACTGAACAAAACTCTCCATGCAATTTCTCAGATATTATAACAATATTGAATTTATACTCTTTGGTTTACCATTAATAGCTAATACAGGCAAAGATAATGGTATAGCCCAATTGAAACATTAATATGTAGGACCAAGGACATGGAAAACAGTGAAAATATAAATTGATGAATTTATTGATTTAATCTTAAGTCAAAAATAATGACTGTAATTATTAAGGGCCTTCCCCTTGATTTAGAAAATGACATAATAACTCCAAAAAACACACCAAAGGCATTAGAGTAGAAAAGAGAAATTGCCAATTTTATGTTACATAATGAACAACAACAATCATAACAACCAGATAGAAATCCCAAAACATGACTTAATTAAAGTGCTTAAAAACAAATGTTTAAAATGTTGAAAGAGATATCTCTGCTAACATCAGGTTAGTATGCTATTGAGTGGAAATATATATTGCTAAATTTATAGATAGCTAGAACTTGACTTAGATATAGTATAAGGCATACTATAAAATAAAATAATAAATGTGGTTGTGTGTCTTTCTCTATGTGTTCAACAATGGTTGGACAATCTTCTTTCAACAGCTTTATCATTTCACCATTCCAACATCAGCATCCTGTATGAAATTACGTTGGGGCCTTATTTCTACAAATACAGTGGGACATTTAGTACAGAGAAGATTAATTGCATTTTGTGGAGAAATTAAATGGAAACCAGTAATCTATACAGGGGTTCCCAAACTCAAGGTCAAGGACCTCCACAGTAGATGCACATTAGGCCACAGAGCCCCACTTTGAGAGAATTTTGTAAAAAATAAAAAAATAAAAATAAGTGATCAAACTGGGATCACTATAAATTACAAACAATAAAAATGTCAAACATAAACTCTTTCTGCCCTTGTAGTTTTGACTTCCCAAAAATGTGATAAGTTAAAATATGGTATTCCTCTTTCTTTGGGGGGATCACTTACAATCCGCTCAAGGACCCCTGTTGGTCCCGGGACCTCAGTTTGAAAACCACTGATCTATTATATCTGTAACAGATTTGTAACCTCTCTGACTCCCGTCCCCTGCAAGCCTCAGTCAACTTTCTCTTTTCCTGTACTTAGATATGGTATATGCTAGGCTAGTCTGTTAGGCTAGGCACGACCGTTAAGCTAGCGTCTGTTGTAGAGTGTCAGACTATGGCTACGTAGCAGGCCACAGTCTAAAGACTCAAGACTTACGTTTTATAGAGCAGGGCAGGCCAAATTCAGTTGTAATAGCTGGGTTTCAACCAATAGAGGGGAGTTGCTATGCATTTTTATATCAAAGTATGTAGAATTCAAATACTTTGCACTAAAATTTCCAGATTTGAACTTGAATTAATCAACAACAATAGTAAATACCCATTAACAGAGGTTTCTGGGGTTTAGTTACTGTTTTAAAATTATATATTAAAAAAATTGTTTATTGCAGTTTTATACAATTTATTCATGTGACTTTTCTTTATACTATTTCATCGTTGAATTTATTTAATCTAGGACATTTTGGGACTCCATAATTTCGAACTCGCACCAAGTGCAACGCTCCACTATCGCTCCATGTAATTGGCCAGTCCGCCTGTCAATCAACACTGGCTCCCATGGTAACCGAAAGCTCAGCAGCAGTTGGGTTTGTCAGTGAGGAGCAAGTTCCGACCGCTCACAACCGAACAACCCAGCACCGACTGATACCTTCAAAATGAGCTTGTCAGTCGCGTTATTTGAGTCAATATTAAACTACCCGGATGCCGAACACTGATATCTTTCCGTCCCACGAATGTCCTTTTGAAGTTGTCTCTCAGCTCTGTTGTTATATATCAGCGTGCTGCTGTTTGTAGAAGTTTTCAGGACTCTTTCGCTAACTGACCGCTCCGATAAAGCGACGCCATGATCCCCGAATGTCCCGGCGCCGGGGAGAGAAGCCGGACCCGCTTCCAGCACAGCAGCCCGGCAGCCGAACCGAGCCCGGGCCGCGGCGGCAGCGGCTTGTTGTCCGCAATTAAAACCACGGTCAACAACGAACCGTTCACCGACCACTACACCATCATCCCCGGCAAAGAGCTGGGAAGGTAAGACCAACTAAAATCCAACTATTGTCGCCAGAATTGTTACATGCCCAGGGCTGGGGGGGTTACCTTCAAAATATAGTCTAATCCAGTATTATCCGTTACATTATTAAAGTAATGTAACTTCATTACCTTCCGTTACTTTTGGACAACCTCAAATAAATATGCAAATAAAGACAAGAGAAAATGAAGTACTATACTTAGTAATGACAGTATAGGTGTTAACATACAAGGAACTTGCCTTGGTAAGTTGAAACATAACAGTTAAACATAGAAACATATAATTAAAGATAAAATAGAGACAATAAAAGAAGGCAATATTTACTAATATAAACAGAGTGGCCGGATGCTGATATGAATGAGTGAAGAGCTGTACAGGAATGTTCTAACATTGTCTGACTCATAATGACATTAAGACCTAGACGTAGAAAGCTAAATGGAAACCAAGCTGTTTAGCATCAGAAATGTGACCTCTGCTCAGTGTATTTTTAAAGAAATGTATGTATTTTAAAATTATAATCCTGCTAATAATTCACATTTACAAAATACAAAATATATCTGTAATCTGATTACGTTGTTGTTGTTTACTCAGCAGCTCATTCACGGTGACTGCTTTGACTTAAAGTGACTATCTACTGCTACCACCCACAATACATCGATACTGACTTTAAAAAGTAATATCAGCATCAATAGCATGTCGCTTTTACTCCTCATGTTAATACTCATTCTGGAATAGGCATATTATCACCTTTTCCAGGCGTGTCGGTGTGAGCGAATACAACTTAGACATTAGAAGGTGAATGAAAGTATTGTCATCAAAAGACATATTAGTCAGTTTCTCTCTGGCTCTTGGAAAGGCAAATCCAGCTGCGTGCCCGTTGAACAGCTAATGTTTCACAGGATGTCTTCAGGGTTAATTATTAGAGGAAATGCCCGGGGATAGAGCCTTCAACAAAGACACAATCCCTTTTTGATTGGAATATGCTTTTACCACGACTAATCACCCAGTGAATGACTGGAGTCACATTGTGAGTGTGAAGTGGTTCCCAGTCAGCTTCTTGACATTGTGCCTGAGTGTGTTGACCCAGCTACACGCTTTGAGATAAGAGCTGAGTTTAGACTCGGCTCAATCACTTATTTCAGCCGACAATCTCTCTCTAGCTATATTGAGTCCTGGAGGGCCACAACAAAGGCTGTGTGTGTGTGTGTGTGTGTGTGTGGCTTTGCATCGCATGACCTGACATTGTGACTGAGATTAGTGTCCAGAGAACAACATGAAAGGTTACATTAATCTGCATCTACGACTCTGATCGGCAGCATTGTGCTCAGCAGATCAGCTGACAGTGGTTCATGTGGTCAAGTTCATGTACACACAAAGGTGTTACATGCGTTGTGTTATTGTGTTGTGCTCGTAACCGTGGAGATAGTTAGGATCTCTCTCTCTCTCTTTTACAGTATATCATAAAAATCGACTTTTATTTATCATGGGATGTTTCCAGACTTTCATTCCATATACTTTAAATCTATGTGTTCTATCATTTGGTTTAATGCACACATTTAAAATGTTGCATATGAGTTTCAAATACTTGCATTTGCAGTGGGACCATATTGGTAGAAGTGTAAACATTTAGAACTTTTAAAGGATAGGTTCACAACAATAGTCAGGTGGCTTTTAAGTAGAAGATTCCTGCAGAATGCTCCTCATACTAGCTTCAGATAAACTTGGCATTTTGCACAAAACGAGGACTGGATTTTGATCATGACCTCATGACTTGCATTAGAGGTGCATTAGGAAGGGCTCCTGTAACAGCCATAAACAGGAGGAATGAGCAGTGTTCATATGGGCACCAGACTAATGTTGTAAGACATTGTGACCCATCCTGTCAAGCTGTGCATCACTGTATGATTTGAGCCTGTTTCTGACCCAATTTCTAAGCCACATGACTCACTTTAGAGTCAGACTGAATTTTGTCTTCATCGAGCGTTGTTTGCTGTCCAGTGTAGTGGGGGGAGCGAGGGCACGGGCCAGTAGGACTGTCAGCTGTGTTCAAAATCACACTGTAACGTACTGTTCATGCTAATTAATTATGGCGTCAAATTGTGTGTGCAGTGCGGTTCAGCTGTATAGTATGTGGATTTGTTTGCGATATGCCTGGATATATACTAGATTAGCAAGAATATTTATTATG